ATACTTGTCAAAGCAGCGACGAAGGAGTATCAGTAGGTATGGCATTTCTGTGCCAAGTGTCTCACCTGGTCCTTGTCGTAAGCCGAGTGATTGCGGATGGCCTTGTTCAAACCGTAGTTGTCGTGCACATAGGAAACAACAGTACAGTGACTCACCTCGTATAGAAATCCTAGCAAGCCGGATGCTGTGTATGTACTTGTTGAAGCTGAGACCTTAGAAGTCGTCAAGATATAGGTCGCGACTTTATCAGTACCTGATGTAGAAATCCTTGCCGCAGACCGGGTACTTGTGAATATGCTTGTCAGATTTGGGGCCGTAGGAATCGTCGGGTAGGTAGGAATCGTTTATAACAAAACGTCACCTGGTGTAGGAATCCTTATCTTAGATTGGGTACTTGCGAATGTACTTGCTGGAGCTGAGGCCGTAAGAGCCAGGCAGGGAGGAATCGTTTAATCCAAGAGTCTCATTCGGTGTAGAAGTCTTTGCTCAAGGCTGGGTGCTTCCTGATGGCGTAGGAGTTGCAAAGCAAGAAGGAATCGTTTATTCCAAGAGTCTCACCTTGTGTATGAGTCCTTGCCGTAGGCCGGGTGCTTCCTGATGTACTTGTCGGAGCTGAGGCCGTAGGAGTCGTCGGGGAGGTAGGACGAAGGCGCCGGAGCAGAGACCGGACGTCGGCCCCATGTCGTGGCCAGGGGCTGAGATTGTTGGGCGTTGGTGGGGCCGTCTCTGCCACGGCGCTCGTAGTTGTTCTGTCCTGACGAAGACGCGTCCTAAGCACAAGGAGATCGTTACTCTTTGAACATTACCTACCAATGAAATTTTATTCACTTTGTTAGCGAATTGAATTCATTCTGTGCTCGTTAATAGATTATTGACGAGAGCGATAATGCCACACCAGAGAGTAATTATTACCAACGAACTTATAATATATTAATTTAAGAAAAATACGTGACGAGAAGTTTTTTTAGTTGGTACACAAAATTACTCAACGTTTTCCTACAAGTTCGTGAACCAATGTTTCTAATGTTACTTTGATGTAAAAAGTTTCGTTTCTGAACAGCAGTTTCTTAATTTAATTTTATAACGTTTAGAAGATTGTGCTTATAAGTAAAATCTCTCGGTATTGTTCTAATTGTTGCCGAAGAAAACCCTACATTTCCTGAGACGACGAAAATGAAGGTAAATGACGGCATAAGAGTGAAAATAGAATGATCCGTATTGTGCGGTCCCCTAAGACCGCGTTCGATTTTTGTAGTTGTCACAAAACGTATCCGACAGCCGACCCTCAGAATTGCAGTGTACTTGCTGTTGTCTGAAATGACCTCCAGAGTGCTGGTAATGCGCCCAAAATTTGTTGTGGCATACAGCCTGCGACAAAATAACGAACGAAACGTGAACGACAAAATCATTTCTATAAGAATCTATGCTTTTGAGGTCAAAGTGGTAAACGAATTCAATATTGTTAATATTTTGCTGTGTTTTTATCTGAAATAAATCTTTCTGTGCATACATTTTGTATCTTACAAGGGCTCCACTTAATATTTTGACATTTTGTAGTTGTGCATATGCCTAATAGTTTATAATTGACTTTAGCAGTACATCGGATATGGTAACGATTGGTTTTGTCCACTGCAAGAAGTTTTATTGTATTGCTTATATTATGAGTCATTTAACATACTCAAAACACCCGAACATCACAACCAAAAGAACGATGAAAGTTAATATTTCACTTTACTGAAGCAACATATATCAATTAGTATGAAAATCGTTCCTCGTTACGAATTGAAAGATTTCTCGTTACAAATTGAAAGAATATTATGGGGGAAAATTGAGTACTTAATGGTAAGAACGAATGTGAAAAAGAACTCGAGAAAGAAAATGAGTTGGTTGGGAAGATACAGACGTTCTAGAAGGAAACCAAGAATTAGACGTATGCTAATGACATGAAGACAGCGATAAAAGAAGGCAGTCTAAAGAAAATATGTAAGTGAAGGTCAAGGAAATGAAGTAAATAAAAGATGTGAATAAAATGTGAGATGTGACGTAGAAGAAAATGTATGAGTTGTAGATGAAGATGATGAAGGAAATCGGTAAGGAAATCAATGAGTAGATGAAAGGAGATTAAAATGTGATGAAGAAGGTGAATAAGGTGATGCAAAAGGCAATACAAAGAATATAAAGAAGGAGATCTGCAAAGATGAAAATGAAGAAGGAAAGGAAAAGGAAGAGCGAGAAAATAAAAATACGTAGGAGAGGGAAAAATGTTGAAGGTGTACACAAGGTTAAGCATGTGGATAGGGAAAGAAGTTGAAGGACATGACCAGGGAGAAGAGGAAAGAGAGTATTAGGTTATGTAGATTATACACTTATTAGTAAGGTAAGGAAGAAGTTTAATCAGGATATCTGGAACAAATAGTTCAGAGGCAGAAGAATATTAAGAGAGAAACATTACAAAGCACAAAATGGAAGTGTATAAACATAATGAATATTAAAAAGAGGAAAAATTGCATGTAGAAGGAAAAGTAAATGTACAGGTGTCACAGAATAAACGTTTCAAATTTGCTTGCAGAGGGTTGACGACTATAGTTTTGTCAAAATAAATTTAGAATTTTGAATTATATACTTAATTACATATACATTTGACTTTCAACTTCAACTCTTCAAGCAGTGGTTTTCCGAAACGTTATGACACGTGTGATGCAGTGAAAGAAATTTTGAGAGTCTGCCGAACATCGAAATATAGCAAGTCACCTAGGAATTATATGTGAGACTTTGTTATTGGAGAATTTCAACATAAGCTCATTGGCAAAACGTGATCATCTTCTACCCTAGAAATTTGCACCATTTATTCCGAGAAACGTGTAGGCAAAGGAAGATGCCAAGCGAATAAAGGCAGAGAAGTGACGTACCTCTGATGTTTCAGGGCGATCGGGACGGTCGGGGCGGTCGAGGGCGGGCTCGAGAGCGAAGGGGCTGCGGTCGCTGTGGGCGTCGCGAGCGAAGTGCGCTAGCGCCGCCTCCTGCAACACCACACGCAACACACACTCAACCCATTGCTCATCTCGTTTCTGCCAATCGCCATATGCCAACATAGGAAGAAAGGTGACTATGGGGCAAGGGGGACAGGGGGTATAGGGAGCCAAGGGGGTCAGGTGGCAAGGGGGCAAGGGGAGAGGGTGCAAGGGGGGCAAGAATGCCAAGGGGGTAGGGAGTAAGGGCTCTGAGAAGTCCAAGTGGGCAAGGGAGTTAAGGGTGTCAAGGGGTGCAAGGGGGCAGGAGGGAAAATGAGTAAGATAGCACGGGGACAAGAAGAAAAATTGGCAATGGTCAAAGAGGCAATGGGGGGAAAAGGAACAAAATAAACAAGGGTGACAAGGGAGGCAGGAGGACAATGAAGCAGAGGGCAGGAGGTTTAGGAGCAGAGGGAACAAAGGGGTCAGTGTGGCTAGAGAGGAAGGATACAAAACGGGAAGGGGTGCAGTGGGTACAAGAGAGGTCAAGAGAACAATGGAGGCCAGGTGAGCAAGAGGGGTAGGTGCAAGAGGAGCAAGGGACACACTGGGACCAAGGGGTAAGGGTATTGGGCAAGGAGACAGTTGCCCCCAGAATATTACCAGAGTCACTTAATTCATAGCAATAAAACATGTATTAATATAAAATATCAATCACGATTTAAAACATTTAAATTACTATCGAACAATTACAGAGAAGTAGAAAAATGTGCAAAAGTACAATGTACAGTGAGGGCTACTTTGAAAGAGGGTTTTTGGAAGCGCCACATTGGACGCCATGACATGAACGAGGGCAGAGCGACAAAGATGTGAATAAAAAATAAAAGCAAATGTGAAAAGTGAAGGCATGAAGAAGAACCTGTCTGTGGATGAGTTCCTTGAGTTAACGCTTCCGAACAATTCTTTGTGCCCTGCTGTACTAAAAATCTACAAAGAAGTGAGTGAGAATAATAAAAGCAAATGGGAAAGATGAAGGCCTGAAGAAGGACCTGTGTGTTCATGAGCTGCTCGTGTTAACGCTGCCGAAAAATCTTCTTTGACCCTGCTGTACTAGTATCTACAAAAAAGTGAAGAAGAAAAAGAAAAGGAAAGCAAATGATAAGAACGAAGGCCTAAATAAGGACCTAACTTTGTAAACTAACACTTCCAAAATATCCTCTTTGACCCTGCGGTTCAAGTATCTAAAAAGAAGCGAATAAGAAAAATAAAAGCAAACGGGATCAGTGAAGACCTGAAGGATGACCAGTCCGTCGATGAGATCCTCGGGTTAACACTTCCATATAATGCTCTTTGACCATGCTGTACTAGTATATTCAAAGAAGTGAAGAAAAAGAAAAGGAAATAAAATTATAATGATGAAGGTTGAAGAAGGACCTGAGTATATTAACGCTTTCCTAAACACGCTTTGACCCAGCTGTAATACAATCTACAAAGAAGTGAATAAAAAACAAAAGCAAATCGGAAGAAAGAAGGCCTATCTGCGGATGAGCTCCTTGTGTTAACACTTCCGTATAATGTTCTTTGACACTGCTGTACTAGTATCTACAAAGAAGTGAATCATAACAAAAGGAAAGCCAATGAGAAGAGTGAAAGCCTGAGGAAGGACCTGTCTGCGGATGAGCTCCTCGTGTTAACGCTTCCGAAAAATTCCTTCGACTCTGCGGTACTCGTGCATACAAAGAAGTGTAGAGAAAATGAAAACTGGTGTAATGGGAAGGAGTGAAAGGCCTGAGAAGGACTGTCTGTGTAAATTAACGCTTCAAAAAATCTCTTTGACTCTGCAGTACTAGTATCTTCCAAAAGAGTGTGTAGGCAGAAAATAAATTTGTAGTAAATGGGGAAGAGTAAAAGGCCTGAGAACGGACCTGTCCTGTGTAAATTAACGCTTCCAAAAATCCTCTTGACTCTGCTGTATGGAATATTAAAACGAAGTGTAGGCAAAATAAAAAACTTGAGGTAAATTGAAAGAGTGAAGGCTGAGGTAAGGACCTGTCTGCGGATGAGCTGTTCGTGTCGGAGGGCGGCGGCGCGGCCAGCTGCTTCTGCAGGAGGGCGGACGGGGGCGCGCGGGGGCGCAGGTGCGAGCGGCGGTCGGCGGGGCGGGGCGGCGGCGGGGGCGGCGGCGGGCGTCAGCGGTGCGACGCTCGTCGTGCGGGCGGTCGGCTCCTCCTCCAGCTCCAGGCGAGAGCGCGCCACCTGCCGCGCACACACGCGCTCGTCAAACACTTCGCCTTTCGCATGAGACATATTAAGCGTATAGAAAAAGATAAAAAAGTTGGTTTTGTAATGACAGGTACAGCGATGAAAAATATTTCTGTCTTTTTGCACTTCTGCATTCCCCACTATGATTTGGAAAGTACTAATCAAAATGCTTATTCAGAGTGAGCTTAAATTTTCCATAAATTTGGCATACACTTCCAGATGGCAGCATATACAATTAGTTGATTGATTAGTGATTCCGGGTGCGTCAAGTACTAAGGTAATTAGTCCCGTATGTATAGAGAATGTTTAGCTCGGGATGTTGTGGTGGTGGTGGTCTTAGCTCGAGGCGTAAGGCGAGATTCGGCGCCGACCTAGCGGAGTTTTCCTGTACCAGGTATCTCCCACCAGTGGGTACCGCCCCAACCGGAACGAGCTCTAAGCTTCCGGCCGGTCTCCTGTCATGTGTGAAAGTGCAGTGCATGTTAGTGTGTGTGTTTGGGTGAAAATACGACAAGGAAGAGGAATGAAAAATCGCGTGTACCGTGATTCGTTTGTTAGCTCCGATCGGTGCTCTGGCTGGGAAAAGCACGAAACTCTACCGATCAGAGCAGTCGGTTGCTACAAGTCCCCTCCAGGAAGCGACTGATTTCGACCTACCTATCTACCTAGTGTCGAAAATTCTGCCACCGCCGGGACTCGAACACTAAAACCTCCCGTTCAGAGGCAATCCTGTGACGTCAGGTGATGCCCTGAGTCACCGGCCATCGATCAAACACATTGCCGTTCGAATGCCAAGTTGTAGCTGAAGAGTGTGGGAAAAATGCAAAAACATTGCTTTGGAATGGCCTGAATGATTGTGAACCTTCGAATTTGAAATGTACTGTACACAATCAATCAAAAATGCTTGGTCAGATAACTCTTAACATTTTCCTTAATAATTGTGACAATCAGTTCCAAATGGCAACAATTTTATCGTATCTTAAGTATTTTGCAGACATACTCTTTTGCCTTTCTGATGTGTTTACATTATTCCTAAGATTTCCCGCTTATCGATTCGGTTAAGTTAAAAAACTCTCACAGATCTTCGTAAAGCTTTTTTTTGTTGGGTTATTTAAGGTCGCATCAACTTCTTGCTCATTAGCGATCACTATTGATTGTAACGGTATGGTAACTATGAGGATGACACGATATGATGACGATAGGACAACACAACCTTGCCCGAGACGGGACTCGAAACCGCAATCCTTCGGTTGAGATTGCTACGGCACTATTGCCTTAGCGATTTCGGCCACCGGATCGGCTTCGTTAAGCTTGTTTTGAAGAATCATATACAAAGTGGTAGATAGCAAGTCTGTTGCCATTCTGCTGTAAGTACATGAAATAATGTTTTACTTTGAGATGGAAGCCCGACTGATTCTGCTCAGAAACGCCTATTAGGATGGTTATTTTACACTTTAGGAGTTATTTTACACTTTCTTAATAAACGAAGTCTGACTAGTTACTTCCCTCCAAAAAAAGAAGTGTCAAATTAAGGGGTTTTGTGGTCTCAAAACTCCAATAGTTTCGATCGGGTTGTGTGAATTTACGAAAATCGGTAGGACGATTCAACATGCAAACGGTACTCGGTCCCAAAACGCAGGTATCTCTAACCGTCTGAGCACATTGATTTGTAGTTTCATTAACCGTTATTACTATCACTAATCGTGAAAACATTGATCAGTAATCAAGTAAAGTAGATCAAGTAAAGAATTTTATCTTTCATATAAATCATCACATATTACACAGCAAATAAACAATATGTAAGTGTTATGTATTTGGTTTAAATAACTGCATTTTTGGTTCTTTCAACTGAGAGAAACACACTGAACGCACATTTAATGAATTAACCGTCATATTTTTCTTTATTAAAGAAACAGATACTGGGATAATCCCTTGTTAGCTTTCGAACTCTAATGTAGATGTTGTTCCCTCCTAGTAAATGGTGAATACATTCTCAAGTTTTTGGCGTTAACTAAAGTAAAGTTTCCTGTGTCCAATCCAAAATGTAGATTGAAGGTGGTCATACACACAAGCTCAGGAAAAGTTACAGTTTTACTCGCATGGATTTCCCCTGGTAAAATTCACGATGTGCCCTGGACCGGTTGTGAAAGTAGAAAGTAACTTGCATTGAGTTAAATGTTTGAAGTTCCCTATCACATTACAAGATGTCTCCCCCGTTGAAACCAGAAGAAGAATTGAAATCCGCAGGAAAAGGAGGAAGAGAAGTAGCACGAAGAAAACATTCGAAAGGAGAAAAAGTGGGATGCGAAGCAGAAGCAGCGGGAGGAATATGTAAACAATAAATGGTTGGAGAAAAGTGGGCGCAACCAGGCGCAAAAATAGAAAAAGAATAAGACAAGGGAGATAATGAGTAGCAGGAGAAGGTGAATAGAAAGAAAGCAAACTAGAAAAAGAAGAAAAAAGAAAGAAAGATGAGAGGAAATACAGAAAAAAACAAAAAGATGTAGGGGAAATAGGAGGAGAAATTGGAAGAAAAAATAAATGGAAGAGGAGAAAAAATGGGAGGAGGTAAACAACGACGAGAAAGGATGGTAAAAGAAGCAAGAATAAGAAGAAAATATGCCTTGAGGAAAATAAATAGGAGTACAATAAAAAGCAAGAAGAAAATAAATCAGGACGAAAATAAACAGACGGGAGAATAAACAGCGGAAGAAGATAAACAGCAGTAGTAAAATAGGGAGCAGAAGAAAAAAATCAGCACTAGAAGAATGATTATCAGAAGGAAAGAAGGCAGTAGCAAGAGGAAAAGAAGAGGAAATTAGCGGAAGAAGGAATATACGGAAAAAGAAAAATTCGCAAGACAAACAGCAGAAGGATGAAGTTAAACAGCCACAGGATGCTGGTAAATCATACAAGGAGGAAGATAAACAGCAGAAGGAAGAAGATAAACAGCCGAAGGTTGAAGATAAATAGTAGAAGGATGAAGATAAATAGTAGATGAAGATAAATAGCCGAAGGAGGAAAATTATTATCATAAGGAGGACTCTAAATTACAGAAATGGTAAGACAAACAGCAGAAGGAAGAAGAAGCCCGCAGAAGGAGGAACATGAACAAGCAGGAGGACAACAAAAAGCAGCATTTACTAGACTGTCCGGGTGACGCCGCGTCCAAGGCGAAGTGCCGACTTTTCGTTCGCCATTCTGCGACCTTCCTCAGGGCGTAATACCCTGGAAGGGAGGAAGGTCGCAGAAGGTCCATTCTGCGACCTTCCTCAGGACGTAATACCCTGGAAGGAAGGAAGGTCGCAGAAGGTCCATTCTGCGACCTTCCTCAGGGCGTAATACCCTGGAAGGGAGGAAGGTCGCAAAAGTCCATTCTGCGACCTTCCTCAGGGCGTAATCCCATGTAAAGGGAGGAAGATCGCAGAATGGCGGCCGAAACGTCGGCACTTTCGCCACGAACGCGGCGTCACCCGGACAGCCTAGTACATACGGACTCCGGCCGCGGAAGCTTACGCTCCCAACAAAAAGCAGTAGTTGTGCAGAAGATGAAGGCGAAGCAGCAGGTAGGTGCGAGTGCGCGAGCGAGTACCTTGGCGGGCTGCACGCCCAGCTCCGGGTGCGCGTACTGCAGCACGGGCGTGCGCACGCCCTCCTCGAAGGAGACGCGGCTGTGCGGCACGCGGGCGGCGGCGGCGGCGGCGCGGGCGGCGGACGCGCTCTGGCGGCAGCCAGCAGCAGCGGCGGCGGCGCGCGCGCACCCGGCGGGCAGCAGCACCGCGCCTAACCACACAACAGACATCCTTTTACTATGGCACTTGATGCTATTACCTTACCACAACACATTCATACACACAAGCACACTTGTATTATGGTGCAAGTCAACCACTACCTAAGCACAGTTATTACGATACCAGTGGCCTATCACAAGCACTAATTATTAGGCCTACCAGTCCACTTACCACACAACAACACCACACACACACACATACTCGCAACTTGTATTAATGGTGCAAGTCAAACTACTACGTAACAACAGTTATTAGATACCCAGTGGCCTATCAACATGCACTATTTTTAAGGATAACCAGTCGCTTACCACACACACACACACACCACACACAACAGACAACTTTTATTAATGGTGGCAAGTCAACTACTATCTAACACAGTATTATTTATTACCCCAACGCCTATAGCAAGCAGTTTTATGACGCCACCAGTCGTCTAACACAACAGACACACATACACAGAAAATTGTATTATGGTTCTAGTGGCCTACCACCTAACACACAGTAATTATTCTCTACCAGTGGATCACAAGCCACTGCAGTCGCCTAACCTCAACAGTCACACACCACAACACACACAAATTGTATTATAGTGCAAGCCGACTACTTCCTTACACAGCAAATTAATTCAGTGTATGTATTAATTCTGAATATTACATAGTATTTTTAGCCATACAGTCGATCAGAACTTTTTCTTCTCCCTACTTATTCTTCCTCTTTCCTCTACCTATTTTTCCCTCTTTGGTGTTAGGGGAGGGGTGCCGTGTTGGGTGATTCCCGCTGGTCTTGGGGGTGGCTATTTCCGCCTTCATTCCTTTACCTATTTTCTGGTCCCCTTTTGTCACCTATTTTTCTCGCCATTTACTATCATCACATGGGGCGCGCATAGAGGAGGCAAGTGTATTATGGGTATAGTCGCCTACCACAACACCCACACACACAAACATACGCAGTCACTCAACACTGTATTATTACTCTACTAGTGTCCTACCAACACACAAATGCAGTATTATTACGCTACTAGTCGCCTAACGCACCACACACAAGCATTATTGTTAGGCTATCAGAGGCCATAGCAACAAACGCGCTTACCAGCAATACATACATCACTGGTGTTGCTAACTAACTTGGGTGGGGAGGGGCACGGAGAGCCGGTGAGCGGGTACTAGTACAGCACGACGTGTCTACCTCTGCAATATATATATTACCATACTAGTGGCCTGTAGCAGCACAGATTAACACCATACATAATTATTACGCTACTAGTGGCCTGTGGTAGCATTCGCCATCACACATACAATAAGTTGGTACTACCAGCAGCCTGCAGAAGCGATTTTCTCCATATATTCATACAATTTTATGATATTAGTGGCCTGTAGCAGCACATGTGCCTACCACCACACTTACACAGAATTCTTACGCTACTAGTGGCTTGTATTAGCACACGCCTCCCCTCCGCACATAATAAGGTATACATAATAGTATTGGATGCTTTTGAATACAAGAAAACGTATCAAAAATAAACATTAATCAAATAATTTTACATCCGCAATGAAAATGTATTAAAATATTTGAAAAAGTAAGTGATAATTACGAAAACAGTCCAGTGGAAGTTGATCATTCGAAAACATCTCTCCCTTCCTTACTTTATTTATTAATTCATTTAATCATCTGTGTTGCTGATCTGCGTGCATTTGAAACGCATTGCATTACAAAATAATTTACGTGTGAATTTCAGCATATTTATTACATTTAAACAATCAGATATTTTTTAAACAATTAATTATAACATTGCAAATAATCGATTGAAAAAAGACTAAATATTATCTAACTGATTATAAAAAACATATTTTCAGGATTAAATTTGCATACTGAACATGCAATACTGTATATAAGTATATTGCACAGCAATTGGAAGTGCATCACTGGAACATCCTTCTTATTTTACTCCTTTTCTTTTACTATTGCACACCTTGGTCAACACACTCCCCATGCAGGATAGTTCAATACCACTCTCTTTCTGCTCGATCAATTTTAGATGAAAGACCAGCTCTCACCTGGAGTTCTCCGCTGGGAGATTCTGCTGAGGAAGAAGAAGACGAAGAAGAAGGAGCAAGGTGGCGCGCCCCGCGGCTCTCGCTGGAATCCAAGTCGCGAGCTTCCGCCGGAAGCGAGGACCACTCCCGCGCGTTCACCGCCCGGATGTACTGCAGCA